GGGGGGGGGGAGAAGGTTTCTGTGCGTGGAGCGGCGGAGGACGTCGCCTTAATTTCTCGGTGAGAGGCGGCCCCTGTCGTGCGGTGGCGGCGCTGGCAGTGTGGGACCGGACGCGACTGGACAGAGAGAGAGAGAGAGAGAGAGAGAGAGAGAGAGAAGGGGGAGGTGGGGGGAGGGAGCCTAAGAATGAGCGGCCGAGAGAGATAGGGAGCGATTCGAGAGAGAGAGAGAGAAAGAGAGAGAGAGCAGTCGCGGTGTAAGTGTCGGAGCCCCTGTCATGCGGAGGATAGGCAGTCCCGCCCGGCGCGCCCGCGCCACGGGTCTGCCTACCCCACAGGCGGGCCCGCGAGACATCAGCATGGCCTATGAGATGTGGGCGTCGTTTTCCCTTTGCACTCGCCTGGGAGCGGGGCACGTGACACACACACACACACCTCGACACACACACACACACACAAATACACAAGGGCCTCCAGGTCTAGGTTGCGTCTTGCGTCCCGCCGCGCTATCGTCGAAGCAATGCAAGGAGAGAAAAGGGTAGATCTGTACGTACGCCCGCGCGCACATTTCCGTCCTTATGCCGATGATTTGTCTATGCTAAAAGCGACCTTTCGCTAGGGAGAGACTCTCTATCGCTCTCTATTCAGTTTCGTTGACGGAACACGGATAGACGTGTATGTAAGAGAGTGTTTGTGTATGTATGTGTGCGCACTTCCACCATATTGTTCAGAGCTCGGGCTCGGGTAACCTCTCTGTGAGTGTGTGCGTGTGTGTGTATGCCGCATATGGTGTCACACCACGTAAAGCACAGAGGGAGAGAGAGAGAGACCGGGGAGGGGGTGGGGGGAAGAACACGAAAGGAGGGGGCAGGAGAGGCACACAGACGGATAGGCAAACAGACGACGACATAGGAAGGAAAATCGTAAAGCAAATGTTGGGGAACGAAACTCACGCGTGATGTGCGAGGGAAGGCTGGTCTCCGTTGTGTTGAAGAGGGAGTGCGAGAGCTCTCTCTCTCTCTCTCTCTCTCTCTCTCTCTTTCGCTCTCGCACACAGAGACACACAGAGCGTACTCGCTCTCGTGCTCTCTCGCTAACGGGTCCCGGGACGAGCCGCCATACGCCATCTTGCAGCTGTCGGTAGACGGGGGTAGCTCGGGGAGTGCGGTAGAGTGTGTGTGTATGAGAGAGAGAAAGAGAGAGAGAGAGGGAGAGAGAGAGGGGGGGAGGGAGGGAGGAGGGCACATGGGGAGGCCTATGGACGCGCGGCAGAGAGACGCCTGACGCGGCGCCGCGCTGAAATATGGCCGACGTCGCGCACGGCGAAGCGGTAATTCAGCAGAGCAGCCAGTAGTGTGCGCGTCGTGCAAAATATTAAAGCTGCAGGGTGAGGAGGTGGATAGGGGACGCCAGGTGGCGCAGGGGAAAAGGGGGGGGGGCGTCAAATCAGGACGGCCATCAGCGCGCCCATCTGCTCAGAGATGGCCGCTGTCAGAAAGGTCGCGTAATATTCCTGCCACAGAGGAGACGGGCGCGACTGAGGGATGAGAGGGGGTGGGGCGCGAGCAGCACGACGGGGGCGCCGGAATAGCAATGTGTTTGCGTTTAAAAATGGTCGTTTTCCTGCTTCCACCTGGGATGGTGGAACGGGGAGACGGAGAGGGAGGAGGTGGGTGGAGGGAGAGAAGGTTGCGGGGGAAAGCAGCTCTCTCTTCTGTAACAACTGTCCCTCTGGGATAACGCCCCGGGGCTCGGCAGCGGAGAGGCCGGGAGAGCTGCTGCCGCTGCAACAAACTCGTGGAGAGGAGAGAACAACGAAGAGGCGAGTGGAGGGGTAGGGCCGGGGCACTTGTCATTCCCGACGGCTCCCGAACGATGCAGTAGTGACAGCGAGCTTGGCGGGGGTGGTGGAGCCATAGAGCCAGCCGTCGAGATCGCTTCGTACATTCCAACTATTTTCGCCTCATTGTCATCAACGGCAGGCGCTGCCTGTGCCCTGCGGCCGCCCGGCGAGAGTGCGCCTCGCATCATTCCTCACATACCGAGCCCCCCCCCCCCTCCCCGCGCTCGCTCTCGGCTAATGACGACCGGGCTTGGCTCTCTCTCGTGACGGCGAATGAAAAGTTTTCGAGTCCCATCAAAGTTTGTCTGAGTTATTGCGGGCGCACTGCTGCTGCTGCTGTGTTCAACAAACACCCGCCCGCGCCGCGCCGCTGCCTTCTGAATGTCGCTCT